TCATATTATTGGGAGTCCGGATAAAAAATTTTTGCGATAAAGTAACGCAATTTTCTACGTCATTGAAATATTGATGGTTGACCCGCATAACCGGCTGATATATGTTACATCATTATCATTATCTATTGTGATATTATAAATATTAGGGTTGTTGTCTTTACTTCTGTAATTGTACTACGCTGAGCATGGCTATTAATTTGTATATCATAAACTTTAGATAAGTACAATAATTAAACTATATTTTAAGTCATTGAAAATTTTCAAACGAAACCCACCAAAGAAACATGTCGCTTGTACTCCGGTCAGTTTATTTGCATCATTTTAAATAGGGCTACATATGTCGTGACTCGAAATGCTACAGTCACTATACAGCAATGGATGTATCATTATATATATAATGATTGACTGCCATTTCCCTATGCCCGGGGAACTTGATTAAATCGAGTGAGTTGTAGGATGGCCGATTTCAAAAAATGGCGGAGGTAGGTATGCCAAATGAAAAGACATGAATTGAGGAAAAGATTGACTAAAAGTGGGTCGGGTGATTACTTTCACACCAACTTGGCATTGAAATTTTGAACAACTGGGGTCGGAAGGGTCAGGCACCCAAAGATGGTTCTTTGCTCACTAATGACGAGATTCATGAAAGATTATTTTGCAAATCATTATAGAGATAAGTCCCGAGGTTGCCTTCGTAGGTGACCACCAGATTTGCACCTAGCGAGTGGAATAAACTTGGTCGTGGCAAAGATCAGAGAGATCAATGCGGTAGGGAAAAGAGTTGGCTTAGGCCTAGCATAAAAGCAATAAACTGACATATCTCAATCGATTGATAAAAGTTCAAGTTTTTCATGCAATCGGTCGATCACTTTGACCAATAAAAAAAAAGAAGAAAAAGAGGAAAAAAAAAACATGTAAATATATTTTATTATCGATTTTAAAATTTAACAATAGGGTAACGTGAGTGTTAAATATATGGAGTATGTGACTTACTTACCTCTCATACCACGTCTCACCTCTCACCCTCTTATTTAAATAGCCTCAACCAAGCCCTCCTTAATCCCTCCGCTCCTTAAGCTTGGCTTGGCAAAGTTTACAAGAAAAGCTTACGGTGGAGAGCTAAGAGAGCGAAAGGAAGAGAGATAGAAAGGAAGTTGTTTTGTAAATGTCGGAACGCTCGACAGTGTAATTTCTCGAATTAATAAAATTCTTTACAGCTCCATGGACGTAGGCAAATTAGCCGAACCACGTAAATCTGTGTGCTATTTTTTTATTTGCAATTTTTTTAATCCGATTTTTTTTTACTTTTTTGTTATCGTTTTTTCATAACAATTGGTATTAGAACCGTGATTTCAGATCTAAAGAAGAACGATGGGCGGAGACGAGGTGATGGCTTCGGGGATCGAGAAGTTTAATGATATAAATTTTGGTTTTTGAAAGATGCAGATAAATTGACTACCTCTATGGGAAGAAACTTTATCTTCCGTTACTAGTAAAAAAACTGGAAAAGATAGACGAGGCGGAATGAAATCTGTTGAATCGACAGTTTTTGTGATACGATTAACACTGTCAAGATTCGTTGCCCACAACTTCATCAAGGAGAGGACTACTACAGATATTAAGACGGCTTTATTAGGTATGTATGAAAAACCATCGACAAACAATATAGTGCGCTTGATGAAAAAGTTATTTAACTTGAAAAGGGCGGAATGCGTTTGTGTTGCTCATTACCTGAATGATTTCAATACAATCCTAAATCAATTGTCGTCTGTTGAAATTGATTTTGATGATGAGATAGTGCGTTGATATTGTTGGTGTCATTGTCAAATAGCTGGAAAACCATGGGGATGGACGTTAGCAGTTTTGCAGGTAAATTCAAACTATAATATAATGATATTCGTGATTTGATTTTGGCTGAGGAGGTGCGCAGGAAATATTCTGGCAAGACCTCGGGTTCGAGTTCGACATTGATTGTTGATTCCAGAGGGAGATCACATGACAGGAACTCAAACAGAATAAAATCAAAATCAAAGTCTGGTCAACAGACAACCTGCTGGAAATTGTGGCAAAGATGACTACATAAAAAGAAACTGCAGGAATTCTAACAAGAAGATGAATGATAGCGCAGATGTGATAACTGAAAAAATACAGGATATACTAATGCTGACAGTTCATAGTTCTGTTGATGACTGGATACTGGATTCAGGGGCTTCCTTCCGTACATTTTCCCACTAGGACTTAATGTAGAATTATGTTGCAGGTGAATTTGGGAAGGTATATATGGTTGATGGAACAACTTAGAACGTGGTGGGGATGTGAGACGTTAATATTGCTCTCTCTAACAAGAGCAAATGGACTTTGCAAAAGGTCAGACGCATTTCTGAGTTGAAGAAAAACCTCATTTCTGTTGGGCATTTCAATGAGGGTGGTCATTCGGGAGTGTTCTCAGATAGTACTTGAAAGATTACCAAAGTAGCATTAGTACTGGCTCAGGGTAAGCAAACAAACACACTATAAATGACTACATGTTTACTCAGGCGTGGACACATGAGTTAGAGGTACAATATGGAAAAACAGAATAATGTCAGTTTTTTAAAAGATGGCAGAGCGCCAAGGACAGAAAAATTGGATCTTGTACACAAAGATGTGTGGGGACCTTTTCCAGTGACATCTCTTGGAGGCTCTAGTTGCTGTAGAAATGTAAGGTTTGTTGACCTACCAAAGATCACAGTGTAGGGCAGTGATGTAAATGAAGAGGAGAGTGGCTCTGAGACACCCATTCCTATTGTTCTACAAACAGATGGGTTAAAGTGATGTAAATGCCAACTCCATTAGTCTATTTATACATCTCACTAGGCATGGAATCCCAAAGGATGTCAATTATCAAAACAATTTTCTCAATTATGAGGCCATAAATTGTTTAACAATTTCTCTCCCTTTATTTTAAATATCTTAATCAAGGAGTAGGAAAACTCGAGGAACTAAACAGCAAAACTGCTAACATGAATCTCAAAGCAATCAAACACCCAAGGACGTTGGTTCGGCAATCGAAGCAACAGGTCGAAGGAGCATGGTATGAACCAGCTATCAAACAACCGACCAGGCTATCAAGTCAGCAGACCAATGTTGTCGAGGGATTCAATCGACGGACTACGCTTACGACCCCAAGCTTCCCAAACTTTTTTCAAGAGCGTCAGATCACAACTAGTCGATCGATCAGCTTTGTCTCGACATGAACGATCGACGCACAACCGATAATCATTATAGATTGGACCAAAATCTATCAATCTGATAATGACTATTATATTATGCTTAAATGACAACACAAATCTTGTATTAAATTTGTGCATTAACTGTATTAAGCACGATTTCTATAAGCTTTTCCTCAATTTTGTAAATGTCTGAAAATGTCCCCTATAAGTGAGAGGTCCAAAGATGAATAAGGGCCCCCCCACTCATCAACTCCTCTGCTCAGAATTCTTCGTCGGTTCTACTTTGTCTCCAACTCTCCTCGTGGCATCAACTCCCAAGATGTGTTTTACCTAAATGTTGATTTAGGATTTAACAACTAAATACTTAGCGTTTAAATAACCCTTTAATCAAAGTAATCTGTGTTGTTAGATCAAGCTGAACAAATTAAAACAAAATAATTTTTAACCTCTTTCCTCGCCTACCAATCTAACCACTCAACTTAAGAAAATTAATTACATAATTCATCCATTATGAGAAGAAAATATTTTTTTTATAATTTCTTATATTTAGATTTATTGAAACAACTTAGAGATTAATACACAAGTATAATTTTATACCTAACTTTACATTGTGAGAATTAATTACTTACTAAATATATTAAAAAATATAAACAAAATACTATGCACTCCATTCCCATCCTAAAACATTATGCATTAGTAAGCTATTAAGGTTTGGCTTTTTTTTCTTTTCAGTCTAAATATATAAAAAAAAATTAAATTACACGTAGCCAGATGGTGACAGGGTGTGGTGACCAACCGGAACCTACTCTGGGCCCCACGGTCTCGTGGGGCCCTTTCCACCTTGTCAACGGTTTATCGGTGGGCCCATTTGAAGTTGGCTAACTCGTTGGGTTAACTGAATCCCAAACCGCTAGCGGACAGTCCACGCCGGTTTCACTTTCACTGCGAACGTAACTGACGAACAGATAATATTAAAAGTTTGGGTGCTATACATATGTAAAAGCCCCCATTTTTAAATTCTCCACGCCCGCGGCTGCAATAAATTTAGGGCAATCATACAAAGCCCACACAAATTTGCTATTTACAAATCTACCCCCATCTTACATCCATTTTTCATCTATTTTTCAAATTCTAACTTAAATATAAAAATTCATGGTAAAAACTAAACCCATATTATTGCTTTTTATCAAATTCTCATTAGTTTGGCTGTTGTACCCGTAAAAATAGAAAAATTATTACATCAAGACTCACGCATGCAGAGCTGTTTGTTGAGTCCAATCTCACGCTGACACGTGAAATTACGTCCTACTTACATAAAAATGAAAAAAATAAAGCAAACGCATGTCCCGATCATATCGATACGTTATAGGAATATTTAATCGCATAATAATATTCCTAGTGTTATTCTGAATATTTTTCACGTTATTATGAATATTTTCTGCGTTATTGATGTGTTATTCAGAATAACACGATGAAATATTCATATAATACGGCGGCAAAGATAAATAATGCAAAAAATATTTGCTTTGGGTCTGTAACGCATCGGTCGAGTCGCGTGTTTTCATTTTTTTTTTTATTTTTTTATGTAGGTGAGCTGACTTTCCACGTGTTAGCGCTAGATTGGACTCCGCCAACAGTTCTGTATGCGGATTCCTGATGTAATAATTTTTCGTAAAAAACTGGTCTCAGAAAAATCATCTGGGGTATGATTTGTAATTATCCATATTTTGTCAGGTTTATATGTAATTATCCCTAATTTTATTCATTTATTTACTTCCGCATTTTTCGCTCGCTTGTCAGAAAGAAGACAAATCGAGGAACAGACGGTACTCCTCGTAATAATCTTATCACGCCTCTGCCTTTCGCTCACTTCTCATGGAATTCGCTACTTAATTGTATTAAATGCGATTGAATTCGTTTGATTCATTGTGAACGACTCTTCTTCTTCTTCTTTCCGCAGTTCTGAGGATGAATGATTGCATTAACTGTGAAATCCCGTAAGAAGTGCGAATTGGATGTGTTCGTCGATTCCTTCTTCCTTATTTAATGTAAGAGATTTTATCAATATTTGCTGTTTTCCGGATCTCTGGCAAATTTTCAAGGATAAAATCGATAGGATCTGATCTTATCCGTTCTGAGTATGCAAGCTCGGAAGTAAAATCTAGAGAAAAAAAGATAGCGAAAGAGAGTTATTCGCAGTATACTTTGACTGAGGTGGCGTGAGCTTGCGGACTTGGCTTTCTTGATTGTAGAAATTTCTTTTGAAGACAAATGGTTGAAGGCTGAGGGGTGTGAGGGTTTCCTCTCTCCAATCTTCAAGTAAATTTTGCTTCACGGAGAACGGATGATCTAGGGCTGGAGATGGTTGTTCGGGTTTGGTGCCACGGGATTCTCTTACTCTGGTTTTCTCTTAGCTCCATTGGATTCGCCGAGCCTGTTGAAGATAAGCAAGCGCTGCTCGATTTCCAATCCAAGATCGCGCATGGCTTCGCACTGAATTGGAGGGAGGATACCTCTGTGTGCGAGAACTGGAAGGGAGTAATATGTGATGCTGAGCATTCGCGTGTCATCGAGCTTCGGCTACCCGGGATCGGATTCAATGGAGAGGTCCCTCCCAATACCCTCAGCCGACTCTCAGCTCTCCACATCCTAAGTCTCCGATCCAACGGCCTCACCGGCCCCTTTCCCTCCTCTTTCTCTAATCTCAGTGCCCTAACGGAGATTCACCTTCAGCTGAATAACTTCTCTGGCCTCCTGCCTTCGGATTTCCTTTCGTGGAAGAATCTGACAGTGCTGGATCTTTCCTATAATAGCTTCAATGGGACAATCCCTCCTTCCATCTCCAATCTCACTCATCTCGTTGCATTAAACCTCTCCAACAACTCCCTTTCTGGTCATATTCCAGATCTCCAGCTCCCAAGGCTTCTATTTTTCAATATCTCTAACAATCATATCAATGGCAGCATACCCGCGTCCCTTCAGAGGTTTCCGGATTCGTCATTTTTTGGGAATGAAATATCCTTTGCTGCTCCAGCTTCATCTTCCCCCGTCCCGGCGCAACTCACTCCTGATGCTTCAAGAAGAAAGATTAGCGAATCAGCGCTTCTTGGAATCATAATTGGTGGTTCTTCTGCAGTGTTTTTGGTTTTCGCCGTCGTTCTTGTGATTTGCTATTCCCGAAAGAGAGATGGGAATACTGTAATCATAGGGAAGGAATCTAAGGGCGATGCATCACCGGAGAAGACAGATGCTAGGAATTCCGATGAGAGCAAACAGCTCGTGTTCTTTGATGGTTCTTCCTCTGCATTTGATTTGGAGGATTTGTTGAAGGCTTCAGCTGAGGTGCTTGGAAAGGGGAATTATGGGACGGCTTATAAGGCCGTGTTGGAGGATGCCTCAATTGTGGTGGTGAAGAGGCTGAAGGATGTTGCAGTTACAAAGAGGGAGCTTGAGCAGCTAATGGAGGTCGTTGGGAGGATCCGTCATGAGAATGTTGTGGAGATGAAGGCTTATTACTACTCGAAGGATGAAAAGCTTGTTGTCTATGATTACTACAGCCAGGGAAGTGTTTACTCTATGCTACATGGTATAACTTTTCTACTCTCATCAGTTAAAACTTTTTCTTCTCTATTGGACTAATAAAATAACAAGCATTTTTGCACTGAAGGTTATTACGATGAGGAAAACTAATATGAAACTGACTTTCATAAAAAATTAACAGATAGATTAATTCTGCGTTATTTATTTGGCCCGAGTCTCCTGCATTTGTGATGTTGCCTTTTAATATACATCCATTAGTCAGATTTACATTGTTTAATTTGAATAAAAAGTTACATTCAATTAAACAAAATTTCCTATAAAGAAAAAAAAAATAACTCCAAAATTACAAGAATTTAAATTAGGGGCATTTGCATACATGCCAGTCAATTTTTGTGTTTACATATGGACACACCTAAACATTGATTTTTATATTTATAGCCCAAATGTTTCATATCGCATAAAAAATACTACTATTTTCTCTTAAAAAGTGAAATACAGCTTTTAATGTATGTAAATCTTCCTTTAAATTATCATTTTATAATACTGAGTTAGATTGATAACTAGCAATGTATCAAGATTTGATGATTATGAATGAAGCAATTGCGCCAAAGAGAATTCTAGCCACAGATATCTTTGATTTTCTATCACTGATTTCTTATAACAATTTGCACATCACAGTAAAATAACCAAGTGTAAGAAAAGATGTGTATAATAAAGTGATCTTAAGAGTATATCATTTCAGTGTGTTTGCCAAGAAATTTTCACTTGATAATTTGAAGTGTGCGCAAATCTAATTCACCAAAATAATTTTGTATCTAACAGATGGTATGGAAGTTAACCTCCTTGTTTCTATTTTGATCACATGTGAACTGCATTTGCAGCAATTCCTCTTAGATGATTTTTTTTTAACTTCTCATACAAATCAATTTCTTGCCACAACAAATACCCCTACTCTTGTAGGGTTAAGGAGACTCATTTTGTTAAAATGTGAAAAGCTATTTACCTACATGATTTATATATTGAATGATGTTTTGAGCCGCCAATAAACTCAATATTCTATTATTACTTAATGAGAAATGGCTATGTTTTCTTCAGTAAAATTTTAAAGATATATAAATAGCCCTACTCCTACTCAGTGCAACTCAAAAGATTATAATGTCTTAGGAATTCATCTGATTTTAAGCTCTAAAACTCAAATCATGAATACATGCAACCCCTTCAAAACATCTAGTGCCTACCTCAAAATTAGCTTGAGAGGAATGAAGTCAATTTTACTGGACCTCATTTTAAACTGTTTAATATATCCACTTTTCAAATATATGAACATTATGGAGTAAATAATTCTTGATCATATTTGCCTTTTATAAACTAAGTAGTGCATGGGGATGTCTTGGTAGAGGTAAAGAGTTGAAAGAAATCATCAAGGATAGGATAACAAATGGTGGTGAACCCAGCTACCTTAGGAATAGATGAGTTTAATAATTTTAACCACATAGTTTACATCAATGCGCCTCCACTCTATCCACATGAGACTCTAGGACTTGTGTTAGAAGTTGGTTAGTTCTAGGGAAGGTCTTCATATTAGCAACAGTGCTACTGAGAAATTTGTCAACTACATTGATGTTAGTGAGAAGAATGAGGGTCTTCAAACCCAAGGATTTTATTATTCTTTTGCCCTCACTGATACCACCAAAGGGTATGGGTGCAGAATTCAGCAAGAATTAGGAGAAAGAAAGGAAGAAATGGGCAAGAACCGCAAGAAGGAAGAGAAGAAATACGCAAGAACTGTTCTCTGATACTAAGTGAAGCTGGAACTGTGAGAAGAAGTTGCCAAATCGCAATAGGAAGAAGAAATCTGCATTGGGAATTAATAGAAAACAGCCAACAGAGAGCAGGAAAAAACAACCGGAAATCATGCACTATAGGATCCTGACAAAAGAAGAAGATAAAATGGCAAATTCACCACCTGAGACGTACAACCGGATACCACAAGGAAAGTAAAGCCAGCCTTCAAGAAAAAAATAGAAAATTCTTCTAGATTGCTCTCCCTATACACAACATACCTATTTATAAAGGCTGGACTCTGCTAATTAGTAGTATGTCATCCCAAAATATAAAGACACAAATAACAGACTAAAGCACATAATCCAAGACATATAAACTAAAATAAAACTCAAGCTCCCACGTTGCCCACTCTTCAATTTTTCAAGGTTTGGGAAATGAATGGCGGTTACAATGTTGAAATAATTGAGTGAGACGAAGAGGGGAGATGAGGAAAGCAATGTGTAAGATTGGTGAAGAGGGGAGATGAGAAAAGCAATGTGCGAGAATGAGAGGAGCGAGAATGAGAGGAGCGAGATTCCATATGTTTTCTCAGACTAATTTAATTCTCCCACAACTAATACAATAACTTTGATAATGGTCAAGGCTTGGATAAATAATAACTTCATTACTTCTTACACAGCTTTCACCAAATCACAACATTAAGGATTGTTTTTTCAGGATATGCAACATTGTTGCGTGATTTCCATTCTTTTTTTTCATTTGATGTTAAATTTTAAATTTGAACGACTTACAAATTAATTTTTGAGGCAAATTGAATGTGCTATTGGGTTTTGCATTGAACTAAATTATTTTTTACCTAAATTAGGAGCTGTGAAACATTAAATCCTTTGTCGCATACAATTTAAAGTTAAACTACATACATTAAATCCTTTGTGCGCTCAGCCTTTGGTAGGAGGAGTTTCATACTCCCCGCATGATAATGGAATTTTACTATAATTCCATTCTTAAAAGTTCCTACGCCATATTTGACTTACTGTGGGTTTACTTCCAATGCATTTATTTGTTTGCAATATTTAGTTATTTGATTAAGATATTCGTACTGGATGGCAGAAGTTGGAGTTCACCGCAAGTTACCCCTTTTTTTTTTTTATAAGATTTGCACACATACCACGCAACTCTTACGTACTTGCATATCTAACACCTAAACTTTTAATTTTTACATACATGCAGCCTTAGTCTTGCATGAAAAGGTTTAATTTACTTTTTAAAAGTTAAAATGACAGTATTTTTATGCTATGAAATATTTGAGTGGTGTAAGTCTAAAATTTAAAGTTTTAGTGTGGGTACCGCCACATTTTTTGTTTGGTCATATTACCCTGTTTTATTAGAACGGACATGTTTTGATACTTCTATGAATGCTTGCTCTTCTGAGAAATGAACCATTCATTTGCATTTCAATATCTTTAATCTTTATGCATGCTATGATTCTCTGCTCTTTTTATTGTACAAAAATTGAATTTCTGTTTTACTTCATGAGGCCACTGGCCATGCACATGGAGATCATGGTCTATTGGTAGAGAGGCTTAGTACATTTTACTAGGCTTTCTTTTGTATGATACCATCTGCTTGACAGGCCGAGGGGTTGGTGTACTTTGTTCCTTCAGTTGTTCCAAAATTGCCAACTTAGTTTCTCTAGAATTTCAGAGCCTTGTCTATTTCTAACTTTTGGACATAATTTCAGTCCTTGAATTCATATCGAATTCGAATGGATTCTGAAAGGTATAGTTAGACATAAGCATGTTTGTTGCCTCTGATTTAACCAAGAGCTATTAAGACATCCAGTCATGCACTTTTATTTCATATAGAAAACTATTTTAAGTTTTTCAATCCCTTGCGACTTGTTTACTCAATTTATATTCTATGGTGCATTTACTTCTTTTGTAATTGAATCTCTTTATTATTATTACTATTATTTTACTCTCTACTGAAAATGCTCATTGTTCCTTGCTTTTCCTGCTCTACTGATCCTGAGATGTTGATTCAAACATGGCAATCATGTTTTCTTCTAAGGTTTATCATAAAATTGGGAGTACAATCATGATGATATTTGTTCTAACCATCCTTTCGCAGGAAGGCGAGGCGAAGGCTGGATGCCACTAGATTGGGAAAGCAGGCTTCTGATAGCCCTTGGAGCTGCAAGAGGAATAGCCTACATCCATCTCCAACATGACGCCAAGCTCGTCCACGGAAACATAAAATCATCCAACATCTTCCTCAACAGCCGCCACTACGGCTGCATCTCCGACCTCGGCCTGGCAGCCCTCGTAAGCCCCACAATCCCCCACTCGTCTCGCATCGCCGGATACCGCGCTCCTGAAATCCTCGATCCCCGAAAATCCTCACAAGCCTCCGACGTCTACAGCTTCGGAGTCCTCATCCTCGAGCTCCTCACCGGCAAACCTCCCATCCAGATGACCGCAAGCGGCGGAGAAATCCTTCACTTGGTTCGATGGGTTCAATCCGTCGTTCGGGAGGAGTGGACGGCTGAGGTTTTCGATGCGCGGCTGATGAGATATCCTAACATCGAGGAAGAGTTGGTCGAGATGCTCCAGATTGCGATGGCCTGTGTTGGAAAGATGCCGGAGCAGCGGCCGAAGATGGCGGAGGTTGTGCGAATGATTGAGTATATAAGGAGGTTTGATAGCAGCAGTCGGCCGTCGGTGGAGTTGAGGTCGGATGAATCCAAGAGCTTGACGCCGACAGTGCTGCGAAATACTCCAGAGTTGGAATCCCCTCTGCAGTGAGACTAATTATTGTGTGTAGTATGTTATTTGTTTTAGAATTGGAAAGAGGCGGAAGATTTGGGCAGTGAGGTTCATGGTTTTTCCTGGCTCTGTAAGATCTGACTACTGAATAAGTTCAGATTTGAAGTCATTGATCTCATACAGGATTCTGCACTTGTCCTCCCTCATGATGTTTAGAACTAGTTATATGCTTATAATTTATTTGGATAAAAATAAGCTAGAGAGTTTAAATAGAGTTGGCCTTTATTATATTTGACTTGACGAGAGCTTGAACTGAATTTTTTTGTTGTAAGAATATTGTGTATTTTTTTTCCATTTTAATTTTCGTGTATTTCATTTTACATAATGGTCAAAAATAAAATTTTAATACTTATTGTTGCATGTCTGAAGATTCACCACAGTAAAGTTATATTTTAATGTCTTGGCATTGCTTGAAAATTTAAAACACAAAGATAAATAAAAAAAAATTGAAGATACCAAAATTTTTATTCGGATCTTGAAAGAGAAAAAAACACGGGGTCTATCATAGTCGTAGTAATCAATTGTATTTGTAAGTACGTAGATTAATCTTTCTCATGAATTAGAGAAGATTGAATTGTGATGTTTATATTAAGAATGTAAAATAGTAGTTTAGTTATAATAGTCGCAATTGAGCTACAACAAATATATTTCGTCTTGAACGCTATAACCAGATGTTGTAATAGTGACAATTAGTCAGATGTTGTAGTTGAAAGTTGTAACAGTAGTAGTCGACTGCAGATGACATGTTGATGTTTCACATGCAGTAGTTAGTCACTAAAGGTCGTTGGTGAAAGTTGCAATATCATTAGTTGGTCACAAAGGCCAAAATTGGTAACAATAATGGTGTTTCTAGAGGTCATAGTTGAAAGCTGTAACAGTAGTAGTTTGTCAAATTCCATGGTTGGTGAATGTAATATCATTAGTTGACCACAAATATCATAGTTAGTGGCTGCAATAAGCATCAATTGGCTATAAAAGTCATAGTTAGAAGCAATAGTAATAATCAGTCATATAGGTTGTACTCGGGAGTTGTAATAGTGTTAGTTGGTCATAAAGAATATAATTGGAAGTTGTAGTAATAGTTGGTCGAGTTGGGAGTTATAATACCATCACTTGACAACAAAGGTGGTAGCTGCAGTAGTAGCTGGTCATATAAGCTATAGTTGAGGGCTCCAATAAAGTCAGTTGGCCATAGAGATCATATTTGAAAGTTGTAGTAGTAGTTGATCATATAGGTTATAGTTGAGGGCAATAATAGAGTCAGTTAGCTATAGATGTCGCACTTGACTGCAATAGTGTCAGTTAGCCATAAAGTACATAGTTGAATACTTTAATAGCGTCAGTTTGCTACATAGTCGTACTTGGTGACTATAATAGCATCAGTTGGTCACATAGGCCGTAGTTTTTTTTTTTAAGTTATAATAACATCAGTCAGTCACATATGCCGTAGTCAGTGGTTGTAATAACATCTATTAGCCATAGATGTCATAGTTAAAAGTTATAATAGCATCCATTGACCACAGAGGTGGTATGTGGTGACTACAATATAGTCAGTTGGCCACAAAAGTAGTACTTGAAAGTTGTAATGACATCAATTGACCATAGATGTCGTAATTGGTGACTGCAATAGTATTAGTTGGCCACTGAGGTCATAAGTTAGCATCGCGTCTTCAATACAGTTTTATTTTGTACAATTGAAATTGGGATATGATATTAGCAAGTAAAGGGTCGTCGATGGCGGCGAGCAGAGGCGTTGGTGGTGATCGACGATGGCCACCGAGCAGTGGTTAATGGTGGTCGATGGCTACAAAAGTTGGAATTTGTCATAAGGTCTTCAATATTGTGTTATACATTACGACCACATTTGTAATACAATGTTAGCAAGCAGCGGTTTGCGAGGAAGGTGAACAGGGGCAGTCGGCGGTGGTTGATGGCAACTGACGGGCGATGATTGGCAGTGGTAGGTAATTATATAGGTCAGAAGTTATCGTCAGGTCTTTTGTTTAGAAGAGCCTTTGGAGTACCTTGTTGAGGATACAATAATACATAGTGCAGAAACGCCTAAAACCGAAACTCCAAAACATATTTATGCATAAAAACCCGTGAGGAACAATACATTTCTATCTCAAAATGATAATACTTCAACCCTCATTTCCCAACGTATACCACACAGTGAAAGATAAAGATAAAAAAGAAATATATAAAGTATATATAATGCTTATGTCTGCACGATTTGAGGTCACGGATAACAATCGTTGTGAAATAGGAGAGTTTCCATACAATTTTACAGACCAAATTTCTTTACCCCACAAATATTTGTCGCATTACAACAATAATAGTTTCCATACCATTTCAAATATTGTTCTCACCGCATTACAACAATGATAGTAATCGCCAATGCCATCAAAAGATCATAAACATATTGAAGAATAGCTAAAGATCATTTTAAACGCATTCTATCTTTCGCATGACAGCATTCAACACTGCCAAATTGAAATCAAACAAAATATCACTCAACAAGGACCTTTTCTCTGCATACCAACAATGTTAATATGAGGATCCCGAATCTTTTAAATGACAGCATATCCCCAATGGTAAAAACCGTTTCTAACCCAAATACTAAAAACCAAAATGAGGATCCCAAATCCTAGGGAACATTTTGAAGAACAAATTTTTAGGTTAAAAACCCTTGACGAGGAGCAAAGATGAGGAGATAAGAGACAATTTCGAACCCCTAAAAAATTCCATACAAACAATACCAGGCAATAATCCCAGGCAACAATCAAAACTTCTAAAATGATATTCAGACGAACGATACCTGAAATATTGCAAAGAATTTCAAGGGGTTTACGGGATCGAGGATTGATCCAGGAGCAGAGACGAGGCAGGGGGCCAGGAGCGGCGAAGAGTGCGATACGACAGAGGGGAGATTGATCGCAGATCTAGGGCAAGATGGGATCGAAGGGGGCGCGAGATGGGATCGAAGGGGGCGCGAGATGGGATCGAAGGGGCGGCGGGGTAATAAGATATTCCTAAACGTTGAAACGCAGGGGGCGAGGAGCGGCGAAGGATCCGATGGATTATAGCATAAAGCATTACGCGATTAAAGCCACCGCAGTCACAAACGCCTTCTCCAAACGCGACCACGGCGTTCCTAAAACGCCGAACACACTATTAAGCTTGCCCCAAACGGACCCTTAATCATAACTGAAAAATTCTGTCCTAGCTTAAGAAAAATATGATAGATTGAAGACCTGTCTCTAATCAAAGCTTGATTTTTCCACTAGTGTGCATAGAAGCGGAAGAATGAAGTTCATTCAAATCTAAATACATATATAAATTCACACATATATTCGTTCATAAACACATTAGACACTTTTTATTGTATCTTGAACTCGCTCGATCTGACATAGGCTTATGACATTTCAATTCAATGCTAGGTGGATTTGGCTCATTAATCAACTCATTCATTTCAACACAAGCCAAGAATTGACTATCTTTTTTGATAATCTTCGAGCAAAATTCACAACTTAGCTCTAAGCTCGATTTTCCAACATCATCTTTTGAAACAAGAGGAATTCTTATCGAACATGTTTTTAGTTCGAGCACCAAACCACGGAATGTCCAAGGTTTATCTATCTATGAAACCTACCAACCAAAGGTTAGGCCAAAGAAGGAAATGAAAATGAGTCAAATGGGTGGAAGAACAACCATTCGAGCAATACTTCCAAAATTGATTACATCCAATACCCCTAATTTACAAGCACATTTTCTTCACTTCTTATAAACTATGCCACAATAAATACAAACTATACTATAAATAATGCACTTGTTAACTAGGGCTACTAGACTTGAGGAATATTTAACTATGTATTATTGGGCTTTTTAGCATTTAGAGCTACGATCTGTAATTTTCATGCGACAACTTCTCCACAGCACAAGCTAAAGACACAAATATGGAAAAACAGCACACTAAAAATGAAGCAGCATTTTATAGAGGAAAATAAAAGCAAACCAAACATCCAAATCTCATTGATAACAAATTAAAACATCTTTACAGAAGCATTCCAGGATTTCAGCATCTCTGCCTAACCTGTCCGATCATTAAGAGAGACTCAGAAGAGTTTGTATGGGGAGGAGGCATCCATAGGGTGGATGAGATAGGTAAGAACTAAAGCCACCAGCATCAGGATGTAAGCAATCCCTTGGTCAATAGATGTTCCTGCAAACAAGAAATGTATCATTTTACTATAGGAGTGAAAAAAAAAAAATTTTTACTGTAGGAGTTAAAGTTTTAGGCATAACTAAAGAGAACTTCCCTCAATAAAAATTAGCGCATGCGCTTTTATATTGAAAGCAATAATTTTCATTTGTTATTTATGTGATACATGGCATTAAAATATATCCTTTGCAGAAAAGACTCATTTACTACTTAATTTGAGGACTGTTCTTCGGGGTTAAATGTTGGATATGTAATGTCTTTATTTATAGAATGTCTAATTTCTATTTGCAAGGAACGCTGTTGTTTGCACAAAATGTCTTAAACTAAAAAGATTGCATCATATTGAGTCAGTTAGTTAGATGATATGGCATTTTCCAAATTATCAAAAAGATAAAACTGGAGAGGAGAGCTGATACACAAGTAGTTGGTAATCAGTTTATCTTTTGAATATTAAGGGGAAGTACAAAAGGCTCGCACCTTCTTCCTCCTTCAAAAATTTAATGACCGCTGTAACCCTTGGTTAAAAAAGAAATTGAAAAAAAAAACAAAAATTCTTTGCATACCAATTCTATCTCTCTCTCTCTTCTACATTTAACTTTTTTTTTCTACAAAGGCTAAATGAGCAAAGGAAACGTGCTCTTATTGCCAATTGCAAGGCAGATAACTACACTCTTAAGGGAATAGGGTCAAAGTAGACCTTTAGCTGATGGACCAAAGACAACCTTAAGTCCTTAATATCTGCATCTAATTATCTCCTAATGCTCCTAATCAGTCCATTGCAAATATGTTTGGTTGAATAGGTGCCTCCCCTAATTTGTGTATGTGTTTTGCATTTTGGTCAATTCAATTTGAGAAAATAAAGCATCTCCTCAACCTATTTTAGTATGCAGTTAGATACAAGCACATGACCCTTCTATTGTGAAAGCATAAACAATGAAAAACATTTCCTAAAAATGAAATGTTAATTGAGAAAAAAAAAAAAAGAAATAATGGGAAAGGACATTCTAATAACATTGTCGGTATGACAGCCTTTTGTTTTTTACCTTATTATACTCTTTGATATAAATTTAAAATGAATTTATATCACCCAATTCCTATGTATTTAGATATCCAACACCCAAACTTTATTCGTTACTTCTATGCTGCCCAAATCTTGCATATCACATAAAAAATATCACCATTTTAACTTTTACAAGGTGAAACACGCATTTTCATGCATAGGTAAAGTGAAGTTGAAGTTTAGGTGTTAGGTATGTGAGAACATAGGAATTGAATGGTATGTAAGTAACTCTTCCAATTAAATTCCAACAAGAATTTACACCCCATAATGGATGATAATAAATAGAGGTATTGCACAAGATTTTTCCAATGATGAAAGGAAAGGGCCCAAGCCACAAACCACTGAGACCAGCTAGAATATAAAAAGCTACACTGGGAGCTCTCCACATGGTAGAGCAAGTTATTAGTGGTCACTACAGTTGTACCATCAAATGCCAGTTAAAATTCCTACTTACAGAGGAAAACAGCACCACATTTTCAGAGACAGGTTTTAAAACATACACCTAACAGAAGGTCACTTAAAAATGCGGGCCCAAGTGTAATAATTCCTAATAATAGTCCAAAGGCAGTATACAAACTTAACAGCTTTAATAAAATTACCATACAACACATGCATCAAAAACATACTAAGCTGTTGCTTGCTTTAACAACAAAAGGGGAGTAAATGGACAATTAAACATACCATTGTTCCATTATTTTCTTTTTTTGCTGAAGTTGTGCGATGGTTTATGCCATCCCCATTTTAAGCTAATTCACCTTTAAATGTGGCCATATTGATTATATATCTCTGTAATGCTAAACTCACCAAACAAACTCACTGTAAAATTTGAATGGTTTGATTCATGATCAACATTTTAGCACCACTATCCTCATCCCATTTTTCTCCATTTTATATAAAGCAACACAAGTATCCACTTCGACATTGATTTTTATGTGTGATGTTATTTGGGGATTATAGTAGTGCTCTATATGTTTTCCATGGATGTAATTTAAATGCTAAGCATTCTTCGCAGACCAATAAATACGTTGCTCGAACCAACAAAAAAAGGGAGTGGAAGATGAGCATCCATTCAATAAAAAACCAAGTCATAAACATGAAAGAAGCTCGATTATCTAACAACGAACTGAATCAAGCTGTAAAAAAAGCTTTTGGAGATAAAACCTTCTAAAATTAGTGAGTGCTTAAAGGATGTTTAGTTATTGGGGCATTTACATACATACCACTCGGCTCTATGCATTTACATATCTAACACCTAGACATTACTTTTTTACATTTATACCACCCAAATTTCCACATCACATAAAAAATACCACTATTTTAACTTTTAAAATGTGAAATACAACTTTTCATGCATAGTGTTAGATATGGCTCATATACCATAAATAGACAGTGCTAAATCAGGAGCGGAGCAGAGCGGAAGATTTTGTCCAAATCAGGGGAGTTTCCTTACGCGGGTTGGGGGTGCGGGCCCCGCAGTACGGTACAGAGGCAATGTTGTAATTACATATTGTACTTAGGGTTTACTCCTGAGATTATAAATAGATTATAAATAGGCCTGTTAGTGCCTGTTAGTAACCCCAAGAGGTATCTTCTATTCTGTAACCTCTTTTCCGAATAGTGAAAAAAACTCGCCGCTCTGCTCCTGAGGACGTAAGCATCATTGCCGAACCTCGTTAAATCTCTTTGTGTGCTTCTGGATTTGTGTCGATGCTTATTTTTCTTCGTCCTAATTTCTCAACACATAGGTAAGGTGATATGTATGTAAAAAATAAAAGTTTTAGACACGTAAATATACAAGAGTCGATTGGCATGTATGTAAATCACTCTTAGTTGGTTTAAAAAAAACACTCCTCTGATCAATTTTAGCATGCTCGGAGCATTTCTCTTATTGGACAGAATGAATATGAACAAAGTTACAGAAATGAAAGCACTTGATATGCCACTTTTGCACCCAAGTAAAGCTCAAGCAAACTCTTTTGGGCTATGTGGCTGCAAGATTTAGGGAGTGTTAGGTAGTGCGTTTTAAAGTATTTATGAACGGATTTACTAAATCGAGCAAAACGCTAAGATAAGCCAAATACCCCCCTATGGGGATTTAAGCTAAATCTTGTTAAAAAGGGCCTCTTGAAACCGAAGTTTCGCTAAATTAAGGATTTGTTAAAGCTAGGCTGAAATCTTAATCTTAGGTTTAGAGAGCCTAACCATTCCAAGGATTTAAGAATTTAATATTCTGTTACAATTAATAATGCAGAAATAATGCGGCTTATATCTAACTAATAATCTAATTGGGTATAAATTCGTTTAGCCATAGGTTAGTAATAACCTTTAGTAATTTTTCATGTTAAAAAATAATTAATCTTATATATTTAATCCAATGAAATTTAAATAATTTATAATTATACTGTTTTAGATATTTTTCCTAATTAAATCACAAGTCTCACATAAATTGAATCTTTATTGATAAATAAAATTGCTAATTAACTTTGTTCATTAATCAGCTAATATTTTAAGTAATCCAAGTCTAATTAATCCATAATAAAGCCAATTAAAAATTAACTAAAAATCTAATTAATAATTATAATTTAAAACAACAATCTTATTAATTACTCCAATTGATTAGACCTAGAACATAGTTTTAAAAGGGCTTCAAATTTACAATTATTTAATTAGATAAAAAAAAAATGATGAACAAAAAATATTTTAAAATCTTAGGTATACACATAAGAAATATTACTAATAAAAATAAAAATAATAATAATAGAGATTAATAAATAAATCATTTTAATTGTAAACACATTTTACTTGAATTAATAATTTATATTAATCATCTACTAATTATTCATCTTAAATTAGTTTAGGAGTTAGATATGTAAAAAACATAATTTTAATTGGTATGAATGTAAATTTCCCATTTTTAAGGGCATTTAGCAGCTAAACAGCTAAATACAAAGCATAATCAAACAAATAAAGTTCAGGATTAAAAAATTAGAAATAAACCAATAATCTATTAATTAGTAAGTTACCAGATAAATTAAACACAATAATTTTTTATGCAGTCAAATTAACTAAAAAATAATATCATTATTAATCAAAAAAGTTAATTTTTAAGGATAATTTCATTTGTTAATCAATGTAGCTATCACTATTTTGTTTGCTTGAACATACATCAAGAAACAATGCAGATCAATGCTCCTTAAAAGATGCATAGGCAGAAAGTTAAAGAAGCAAAAAAAAACCGAAAAGATCGTTCCCAAACGCAAGAAAAGAAATTTAGATCTGAGAGTAGATCAGGAAGAAAAGAGACACACCATCGCTGGCCGGCGCAGGAGCAGGAGCGTTGGCCTGAGCGGACGGCAAGAAGAAGCCGACGATGAGAGACACAACGGAAACTAAGAGAAAAGGAGATCCCATTGCCGCCGCCACCCGCGCGATCGCTTCAAGAATCCAAACAATCGGATTCAACTATCCCTCTGTGTCTGGAAAATGCGAGGGCTGAAATGGGAGTTAAAGAGAAAATGGGAGAAGATTAACAGGGAAAAAGAAAAAAGAGTAAAGTGGAGATTAACTCTAAGTGACTTCGCTTTGCTTTTGTTGCCTGATGGTTCGCGGGTGTTTCAGAAATAATGGAGGATCGTCTGGTTTTATGGAGGTGGAAACTCGGGAAGGGAAGAAGAAAAGAAGAAAGTGGAAGAGGAAAGTGCGCTTAGCTCATATTCCTCACAAAAAAAAAAAAAAGTTTGAATTCCAATATTTTATAAAAATTTGATTTTTAATTAATTGATCTATTTTTAGGTAAATATGATATATAAAAAGGGGATTTAGGTAGATAACATTTTAAACTCTTGTATTTGCAAATTGAATACCTAAAATTTTGTATTTAGATGCACAACAATTGAAACTTATTTAACACTTAAATAATGGACATCCCTTTTCTCATTTGTAAGATAAATGGAATAAAAGATTTAGTGTCAAATTTTCATTTATGCTTGGAGACGAGGCCGGAGAAAGATTGAATGACTGGCTTATCACTTTCTTTGATCTCGCTTTAATATTCTATGGATTGGTAAAAGAGAGAAGGCTTCGTTGGAGGTTGAACCTCTCCTTTATGGGGGCTTCGAGCTGTAGGATCACCGCCAACAACACATCCACTAACAACAATAATAGCAACAACTCTACTTGGCTGCTCTGGGCACTTAATCGCCTTCAATCAATCGAGTTATTTGATGCCAACTACAAGAGGTCCTTTGAGAGAGAAATATGTCATGTGTAAGAAGCTAATTCTCGTCTTCTTTTAGTTTTCTTTATTTGTAGCAATGGTCCCTTATATAATGCATATATGTGCCTTGCTTCCCCTTAATCTGTAAGTGTGAATCCTTTGGAGCCCAAAAACTTTATCTCTGTTGTGATTTGGGGCCCTTAGAAATTTCAAATTCTAGCTGCATAGTTGAATCACGAAAACTCAAATGCTTGATCTTTGGATATCTGGTTCTAATTGGTCTTCATTAGCATCTGTTTACTAGCACTTGATATCGATTGTCTGTCAAATAATGGTTCGACATTCGTCATTCGGCTCCATGATCTAATATTTGGTTTACTCAAGGCCAGTTATTATGATGGATGGATCCTAAGATGTTCGTTTTGCGATGATCTAGGTTGTCACTTTTCGGTTATACATTTAATTTCTCGACTATCTTTTATCTTAGAAAGTCATGCTGCAGTAAAAATCAAATCACTAAATTCTAATAACTCTCTTTATTTATAAATAAATAAACATAATGTAACTACTCCCTTTAACTTTGAGCTCGTAGCTCTTAAAAATAGATTGAGTAGTTGTCTCTGACTCCACATTTGATTTAGCCCTTCCCTTCTCTTCAATTTGTTTGCTCCCTTGTTTAGTTCTTACTTATTATTGTGGATCTGACTCGGTCGTAAACAAAATTATTGAACGTCGTCCTTCTCTGCGACATAGTTGATGATCATAAGCATTGATGAGAAGCCAAAAAATGTGGGAAACAACATTTTCGGCCTAGCAGAGGAAGGGTTCCAGCAGGGGGAGGGGTCCCAGCATAAGTAGGCTCGAGCGAGGCATTTTCGGTTGGCTATTACATAGTGGTAAGTAATCTCCATCAAGTTATGTGGGCAGAGCAGAAGAATCTCATTCAAAATACTCTTCCATGTTGCACACTTGATCTTACAGAGAGGGACCTGAGGTGCCTTTTTCAGCATTCAGCAGGATAATGTATTTCAAGGTGTAAAATGGTGAAGGCTAGACATCCTTAGTTATGTGACTGCCCCTTGGAATGATGGGTGTTGGAGTGTGATGCTTCGTTGTTGTGATTATTGCAACTTGTGACCATTCAACAAGTTTTGCAAGTTCTTCAATGGTGGGATTGTCTTTCCCACAGATGACACCAGTATGTTATGTGCTAGAAGATAAGCAGCGATGGTATAACTATTTAGCATCTTTGTGTTGTATGAAATCTAGCCTACACACATAAGTAATTGAAATGACAAGAAGAGACGTCAGAAGTTTTTACATGAAAAACCTGAGAATGGAAGAAACATGAGGCCTAGTCCAGTCAAAAGGATTGACTATAGGTTGATGAGTACACACACATGCCTTTATCACGCAAGCAGTAAAGGGATGCAGAGTTACTCGATGTATAATGATTGCATGTAGAAGGATTCATTATACAACGGTTGGAAGTAGTTGTCGGGACTTTAATGTACCATTTTTAAGATGTGTCGTTGTACGGTGTCCAGATGATGCACTGTTCCTTATAGTTCTTTGTCCACATGATGTTTTTCTACTCAACGTGTCAGACTTTACTCCATGTGATGCTTTGTTAATCCTCAATATACATCGCGACACCGCAAGAGGCCTCATTGCAACGAGCAAGGAGAGGCTGAAGGTGGTCGATGGTGGCCAGCAAGCAGTGGTCATGGTGGTTGGTGACTACAGAAGCGAGAAGTGTTCGTCGGGTCTTCAGTTTGAAACGGTATTGGAATTTAGCTCATTCTTCTCGAACCAGCTCTTCCTCCAGTTCAAGGTCTATGTCCCTCTTAGTGAAGGGGGTACAAATCTATTTAGAGAGTCTAAGAGTGACTTCTTTGCATATAAGAAGTGAATCTAAACCACTCTTTCAGACGGCTCAGAAACTTCATTGATAAAATGGTGTTTTCTAAACATTTATGTGCCTTGACGATGCCAAAATTAAGAGATCATGGACTCGTCTTGTTGATACACTCGATTTGACTATAAGTTTGTAAGATCTAGAATTAACTTGTCTTTCCAATTGGTCAGCCAAAACATTCAAAAGTAGTTTAACAATTTGATCTAAGCTTGTTTCAACTCGAACTGGATCAATTTGGTTTTATTGGGTCAATCTCATTGAGCCGTTCAATTTGACTATAACTTTGCTGAAATCAAAATTATTATGATTTTTAAACATTTATTACTATATTAATCATCCTAAAATACATGCCAAATAACAAAATTTTTTGATGAGATAACAATTATGTTACCAGACCGTTAATATCTTCCAAAGTTCGACTACAGATCAGGGACAATATCAAATGGAATCGCCATGTGCAGGTCAGAAGCTGTCGCCGACCCAGCCACTGTGCCTGCCGGCTAGTAAAGATAATTCTCTCTCCAGGTCCTCGGTCACCTTGCCCAAGGAAAAAAATCACGTACATATCATTAAATAATCATATTAAAAATATTTTCTCCCTACTGAAATGCTCCCGACTTTTGTATCTATTTGTATCTGTTATTTAAATTTTTTTTTTATATTTATATCACCCAAATTTATTTACATATCCAACAAACACTCAGTTTCTGTTTGGAGTAGCTGCAGCTTATCCAATTTATGCTGATAAGCAGCTTATTCTGATTAGTTGTTGATTAGTAGTTAATCTAAATAAGTTGGCTAGCTGTTTGGTTTATGCGTTTGGAAAACAACTGATTTGCATATGTTTCTGGATAAATGACCATTATGCCCTTGATCTTGATAATTTGTTTAGCGGTTTTGTTTGAGCATTTGAAAAACAACTGTTTTGTAATTGTTTCTAGATAAATGACGAAAACAACTGTTTTGTAGCTGTTTTGTAGCTGTTTTGTATAAACTTTCTGTTTGTACGAAATTCACGTAACAACAACATGGTAAACATCCTCCACACGCGAAATCAACAACATAATCTTTTTAACATATATATCATCTTTTTATACATGAAAATGATATATTTTATTTTTTTTAAGTTTGTATGAAAATTTGAAAAGTTTAAATGTAAATTGTGCTGTTCAGTTGTTAGATAGGTAAATACCTAAAACTAAGGGCCTGTTTGGGGCGGCTTATTGGGGTGCGGTGGCGGCATGAAAACGCCGTGGAGGTGTTTGAAAAATACGTTCAACACAGATTATTATTGCCGCTCATACGCACTTCCAAGATTTCGTTAACAGAAGGAGAAGTGGGGAAGGAGCCGCGTCCTGTGTCTGCTTCCCGCATTATCTTGAATAATTCCTTCGGTGCGCTCTCGCCCTCGCTGATTCCTTCGTCTCCTCAATCTTGGGCACGGGGTGGCCCTCTCACCAAGCGAAGAGGAAGAATGGCGAAACAGGCTTAGCTTCCTCGATAATTTCTGGTTTCTGGTAGGAGCGAATCAGAAGAATGAGAAACGGTAGTTTCAGTGCCGCAATCCTGTCGTCGCCTTCCCAGCTACTCTAATGGCGACTTTATCGCGAAGGTTCGTTCACGAAGGCGATCGTTTTGGGCGAAACCTGGAGGGGGAGTGACAAGTGAGGGTTTGGGTAGAGAAGGAAGTTTTGAGAAAATAACTTTGTATATTAATTATAATAGATAAATTTACAAATGTATCAAAATTTTAATTATATCATAATTTTAAGAATCTATAATTAATTATATCAAAATTTTAATTATAATTAATTTGTATATCATCAACTTAATTATGGTAGATAAATTTGTATGTAATTACTTAATATTTGATTAATGAATAAAAATATATCAAAATTTTAAGTTATTTAATAAATTTCTAAGAAATTCTTTATTATGTAATTAATAATTGATTAATCAAAATTTATTAGCTAATAAGTTAATAGTTTATAAAAAAAATAAATAATTACATACAGTTCCGTTACAAACAGTTTCACCAAACAGGGGCTGAATAGACATTTATCTTACAACATCTATCAATAAGCTATTCTAAATAAGCTTCCCCAAAAAGACAACCAACTTATTCTGATAATCTGCAGATTATCAAATCATCAGAATAATCTGTTTATCAGCAGATTATAAATAATCAACAGCTGCGCCAAACAGACCCTAATTTGGTGGCATGTATGTAAGAAAGCCCCTAATTTTTATGTCCATTTATTATAAGGGCGAGCTTAGATAAATATGATCATATAAACAGATGGCAACATGCTAGTAATCATTAGAAACATAATATTAAGTTTAACAGCATAGCAATCAAGAATACATTAAAAAAAAAAAAAAATTGTTAGGAATGACTATAGGCTATTATACGGACTTTCAGTCATTTATAACATGTCTAACAATTCGAGTACCATTTCTTTAAGACAAATTGTGCTAGAAGAGATTCGAACTCTGGGGTTTTATACCAACCAACAGACTGAGATACACGACACAGTAATGAAAAATACATAGGTTACTAATATATTAAGAG